GTCTTCGCCGAATTTTATCCAAAGAAAAAAAATCTAACACACAAACCCTAAACCCTAAACCCTAAACCCTAAACCCTTGAAAACCCTAAACCCTAGAAACCCTAAACTGTAGAGACCCTGAGGATTGAGGAGTGAAACGGGAAACTGACTCACACAGATGCGATTTGAACTCATACAACAGCAGCAGCAGCAACTGCAGCAGCAGCAGCAGCAGCAGCAGCAACAGCAACAGCAGCAGCAGCAGCAGCAGCAGCAGCAGCAGCAATGCATGCAGCACCTTTGCTCTGTAGATACGCCAGTGCCCCTGAGACGGAATCTCCGATTGGCTGTTCGGCCATAAACTCAGGCTGCGCAGCCACACCCAAACCCTAAACCCTAAACCCTAAACCCTAAACCCTAAACCCTAGACCACAAACCCTTCTCAGCAGCCCCTTGACCGCAAATCCTAAACCCTAAATCGTAGAGCATAAAACCAGAGACGGATCCCTCTCCACTCTACCCATGGTCTAGGGTTTAGGGTTTAGGGTTTAGGGTTTAGGGTTTATACCTCTGAGTCTTCGTCTTCTTCTCCCTCTTCTTTATTCTCCGTCTCCACCACCTCTCCCTCTTCTCTCTCTTCTCGCTCCTGCATACTATCCGGAGACAATGACCGTCTAGCCCCCTTGCTGCTGCTGCTGCTGCTGCTGCTGCTGCTGCTGCTGCTGATTTTAATCCCCCTATAAGCACAAACACCCGTAAACCCTAAACCCTAAACCCTTGTTCCTCCTATCCAAACCACCAACAAGCTACAAAACAACTCCAACAAACAACCACTTTAGGGTTTCAATTTCATCATCTTTTCCCCGAAATTAAAAATTAGGGTTTAGGGTTTAGGGTTTAGGGTTTAGGGTTTAGGGTTTACTTGGTTGGCTTGGGCCCCAGAAACCCTCCTCGCGCTTCGTTTGCTTTCTCGAGAGGTGTACGTACACTGCGGCAAAACTCCGTCATCCTAGACAGCTGAATACCCTCCTCCTCCTCCTCCACAGATGCTGCAACAAACCCTAAACCCTAAACCCTAAACCCTAAACCCTTTAGAGCTTAGACAGCTGAATACCCTCCTCCTCCTCCTCCACTGATGCTGCAACAAGCCCTAAACCCTAAACCCTAAACCCTAAACCCTTTAGAGCTTAGACTGCTGAATACCCTCCTCCTCCTCCTCCACCGATGCTGCAACAAACCCTAAACCCTAAACCCTAAACCCTAAACCCTAAACCCTAAACCCTTAA